TCCCATCAGCCTTTAGCACATGGGGCCACAGAGGGCTCCAGACCACCAAACCTGCAGAGCTGAAGACTGGAAAAACATTGCTTGGTCTGACAAATCTCAATTTCATTGCAACATGCAGCTGGAGGATCAGAATTTGGGCTACACCATGAGACCTTCAGGAGGAGGAGGAACAGAAGGTTGTCAGAGGGTGCTGGATGTCTACAGGAACACGGTGATGGTACTGAATCGCCTGAACAGATATACTCAGCACGTTATTGAACTTGAACCATGAAGAACTCTAAAGCCAAAAGTGGGTCCAACCAGATTCTAGAGCTTGGAAATGAAGACAAAATCTAGTTCCTCCGTCAGCCTGAAGAAGGTTCACCGACTATCATTTCAGCAGCTAATTCCCACAATAAACATTCAAATGAAATGCAAATGGAGTAAACATTTGCCGAGTATATTCAACTGCAAATTTCCACTTTACATTGCAAATGTTTGTGAAATCCGGCAGTAGGTAAGACCACAGCGTTCATTCAGCACTCCGGAGGATGAAAGTCACTGAGAAGGTCCATACAATGCACAGTCCAGAATACAACAAAAGCACAAAGTCACACAACGTTTAGCGCATGACGTGTCCCACTGCGCCACCAATCTACTGCACACATGTGGCAACCTTTTACAGTTGACAGACTAATCTCCGTGTTGCTGCTGAGCTACCATCATGGGCGACAACTAAATACCATCTGCCATTCTGTCTGCCCTTCCAGAGAAAATCTACAGAAATTCAAATTATAAAATTACAATTTAAAGGATATCTAAAACCAAAACTTTGAATTTTTTTAGGGCTGTAACCAACTAATTGATTAATCGATAATGAGAATAGTTGTCAACTATTCTCATTATCAATTAGTTGGTTGGGGGGGCAGAGATAGAGATATCATTTTTTAATGCAACTAATCGATTAATCGAAAAAATTATCGGGCAACTAATCAATTATGAAAATAATCGTTAGCTGCAGCCCTAGTTTTTTTAATTTTATTATATTGGGTAGAGAAGGGATTGGTTAAAACTTTTTGAGGGTTCTGTTTCCTATTAGGGAGATTTACCTTCACTGGACTGGACTTCACTGGTTGTGGAAATCAGAGGAAATCTTTGTACAATGAGGGAAATCCCCTCTTAGACAGTTGTCACTGGATCAAGTGTTCCCATTGAAAGATTTACCCTCTGTTTCTGTTCCAGTGATACCTGTAAAATGTCAAATTTTCCATCACTTTCTGTGTCAGTAACACCAGGACTAATACGAGACGGAGACAGGCAATAAGATTCCCAGTGAAACCTACCGCTAATGGTATTACTAGGACTCTTCCAGGACAGCTATGTGAAGCAGGAAACGTCAACAGGAAACACAAGCAGTCACTTTAAAAGGCTACCTCCACAATGGAAACAGAGAATCAAACATCATCCCACATAACAGAACCAGAGAAGAACTGTCCGTAGGGTGGGGACTAGGGGCGTTGTCCTAGAAAATGTCTAAAAATACCATTACCAGTCAGTCTAAGTTGGAATATGCCCAGACATCTTCCAGGACAGCTATAGAGGAGGAAAAGGAAGTATAAGCATAGCTCAGGGTGGGACTACTGACTGCAGAACCTTCCTGCAGAAGGTCAGATCTTGTGGAGATAGCGCCTCGTCTTTGTAATGTCCCACAAAGGTGTTCTGACTTGGCCATATTGTTGTTCTACAGATTTGGTCCACCATGGCACCTGAATCTTTCTGCCCAGGAAGCTGCCAGTGATCTAGTTGATATGGGGTCTGTAGCCCTTCTCTCTTGTATATAAATAAAGTGGTTTATTGAATCCATGTTGCTACTGAGCTCTTAGAGGCTTGGAGTCCTTTTTTGTGGCCACTAAAGACAACTAAAAGGTAGATGGATCTTCTAAATTCTCTTTTTTCCAGGTAACGCAGTAGGCACCTGAGCAGATTCAGACAATGAAATTCTTCCTCCTTGGCATTCTTGGGATTATTACAAAAGGATGACAATACTATTCCTTGTCATCTATGAAAGCTTGAAGTCACTTCAGGGAGGGACATTGGGTTTCAGAATGATCCTATCGGGGATAAGGCTCTTTAATAGACAACACTTGTAAATCCCCAATCCTTCCAGCTGATGTTATGACCAGAAGAAGGCATTCTTGTGGGTCAAAACTGTCGAGGAAGAATCATGTAAAGGGTCATATGGGGAAAAAGATAAACCCCCCAAGACCTTAGGAAGATCCCACAGTGCCACCACTTTATGGGCAACAGCTGAACACCTTTCTCGGGGAGAGAAGAATCATTTAATGACAGAGTCTTCTGAAAGCTTAGTATCCAGACACACTGAATGCGCAGAAATTGATCTGCTTCCGTCAACTCCATCATGTACAAATTCAGGAATTACAGGTACCTCCAGGGCAGCATGTTTGCTTTGACTGTGCCAGGAGGAAACGTTTTCCCAGAAATCTTTCGGGTAGTCATTTTATGGCTTTCGAGGAGGGAATTTATTACTCTGAGTATCCCCTTGGCACTTAGAATGTTCCTCTCAAGAGCCAGGCCATCAAACAAAACAATTGGGTGTTGGGGTGGCAGAACGGGTCCTGAACTATTAGATCCTGGTTGGTTTGGACGGGACCAAGGTGGTGCCAGAGAAAGATTCTGTAGACTGGCGAACCAGGTCCTCCTGTGCCACCAAGGGACTATGAGGAACAGCGTGCCTTTGAGCTGCCCCATTTTCTAGACAATTGATGGAAGAAGGGAAAGAGAAAAAGTAGGGCCAGATCCAAGGGCCACAGATGGTTAAAGAGCATCTATTCCCACAGATCCCTTCTCTTGGCTCAGAGAAAATAAATCCTTGACCTATCTGTTTTTCCTGGATGTGAACAAGTCGGGCGATTCCCTGAGTCAGGAATTCTGACTGAAAGTCTTCTGACATACAGAGAAGGGAACTTATCAAAACTGGAGCAGATAAAATCTGGAGCAACTGTGCACGGCAACCAATCAGCTTCTCTGTCTTTCATTTTCAAATGGGCAACTACTCCAGATTTTGTCTGCTCCAGTTTTGATAAATTCCCTTCACAGTATCTTTGGTACACCCGGAAAAATCCTGGCCTGTGAAGCAGGCACCTCCAAATTCACTCTCCAACCCAAAGTCTGAGGGGTCTTCAGTACCTTGCGGAGATTGGATAATAGTTTGTCTGGGGTCTAAAGGATGTGGTCTAGATACCTAGGATGTGGACCGAAGTCCCCAGTAGATAAAATTGTGACATCACTTCGATCAGAACATTGGTAAATATCTGGGTGCCACTAAGAAACCGAACGGTAGAGCTTGGAACTGCCAATGTCAATTGCCATCTACTGTTGGAACTGTAATCCTAAAATACTTCTGGTGAAGCGGATGTATTGGCATGTGAAGATAGGCAAAATCTAATATGACCATGTACTCATCCTTCTGTAAAGCTGGCCATACATGGGACTGAATGAGAAAAAACTCTTGATGCCCTCCCCCCCCCGCCCCCAATCTATTGTATTCTAACAGCGTAAGTTGCACGATTGTCAAATTACCGAAACAACGGCAGCAGCTGATTGGCTGAAGTCACTGTCCAGACTGATATTTTTCAGACCAGCCCTTACGCCCCATCCAATTTTTGTTATTACTATTTCTAGGAACATTTTACCGTTGAATTAAGTTACCCAAGTTAGCCGCTCACTAAACTGTCTCCTGGACAATACATGGAGCGGGACGGGGGTTAAGGCTGGCAGGGGACACATACCAGGCAGGACAATGAGGACAGTTTATAAAGTCTCAGCTGGTGAGCGTTGACATCACAGAGTCATTGTTATAGGAGCAGAGGAACACGGGGTAAAATATTCCAAATTCCTTCACAGAGCTGATAACAGTTCTCCAATCACAATACCCCAACGCTTTACGTGAAAGAACATAAACAGTGTCGGTGCCAAAATTTCCACCACTACTAAAAAAATATAGAGACAATTGTTTTTCCGACCAACAACGAGGAGGAGGAGAGTTATTACAGCCAGGGAAACAAAGAGATCGTCTGGCTGTGAAAGAAGTGAATTTACCTCTGATGGAGACTATCCGCCATAGACAATCACTGAACTGAAGAAGTTCCCATGACAGCATTTCCTCTCATATCTGGTCCACCTCAGCATGGTGGATTTCAGATAAGGGTCCGGATCTACACAGCCCTATGAAAGCTAATGAGCTGTGGGGTGGAAGTTGGGTAAACAACAACTGGCTCATCTGAGGAATGTTTACAAACAGCCCCATGTGGGGAGAAGCTTGTCATCTCTGACCGGGTGCCTATAAGCAGGCGAAACACCTATCAATCAATATTCTGATTAGCATGAAATACCCATTTAACCCCTTACATGGGTACTGTGTGCTTATATATATACACACACTATACCAAACGTATGTGAACCCCCCACCTCCCAATGATGGAGTTCCGGTGTTCCCAGTGAAGGTTCTGGTACTACTCCATCATACAAAGACATTGTAGACAATTGGGCTCATACACGGCATACCAGATACAATGAAGTGCCATGCAACGTTTCTGCGGAGTAATACAACTTCATGTCACGTACATAAGCAACAAGACATTAATACAACCCCCCAATCTCCCTGCATACAAACAATCACACACCTTCAGGACACCTCCCCATACATTGGTGCGGCCTGACAGGGGAATGAAGGAACTGATTTTGATTCAAGTCAACAGCCCTACTGGGTTAGACATTACCAAGATGTCTGAAATAAAACCTGTCTGTGAACCAAGAGGACTAAAAAAGCGGTTGGCAAGAACAAAACGTTTTAAACTGATTGGTGGATATAAGGTAATACAAGCAGTTCTTATTTCAGGAAGTTTGACGGGATGCAATGTATCCAGGTGAGCCAACGTCAGGGCAGGTGAAGGTCATTGATAAAGCATAAGTACATACAGAGGCAATTCTGGGATACTTACGGCTATGAGGGCGTACAGCTGGGTGCGGAGAAGTGCAGACAGGCAGCAGCAGCAGGAAGAATGGGAGGGGGGCCCCTAGGGACCCCATAGTGGCAAGGAAGTTAGTAGGAGCTTCAACAAGCAGGGGTTTCCTCCAGAGTGTGCTCTTCTGGGGTTGTCTCAGTTTTGGCCCCTCCTCCACTTGTAATCCACCTCTGAGAAGATCCTTCTTTATAAACTCCCCCTGGGCTAACCCCCACCTGCCCTTCCTAAATTACTGCCCCGTAACCGCACCCACCCTTCCTAAATTACTGCCCCGTAACCCCACCCACCCTTCCTAAATTACTACCCCCCCTATGTGCTGTAGACCCTTCAATACAGACCCCTCAGTATACAGATCCTGTCCTCTAAGGTGACCACTTTCCTGTCTATGTCCTTTTCCTGAAGCTTCTCTTACCCCCTCCAAGGTTTGACTCTAAGACCCCTCAATTTCCAAATATTGAATTTAAACTAAAATCTAAACTCCATCATCCCTAAAACTCACCTTTGTACAACCTTTCCCCTTCAGACCCCCTTCTCTATAGACCCCCAAACTCCGTATCACCCCTATAAGAGGCCAAATAATGACTTGACTTTTATTAGGTCCTCCCTGGATGATCCCTTCAGAGACCCCTGGCTCCTCCCCTGTGAACCCCGTTCTGCCCCCAAGTCACCCCCTTCCAGCCAGAGAGTTCCCAAAGTCTGTTCATCTACCAGACAATTATTCGAAACGTCACCCTGAACCCTACAAATAGTCTGTTACCCCAAGAACGTTCTCCAGACCCCAATATAAATGCCCCCTGTGCCGCTTATAACTTCTTACACCTACAAATTCTCCGACACCCCTACAAATTCTCCGGCACCCCTATAATTTCTCTGCCATCCCTATAACTTATCTGGCACTACTGTAACTTATTTGATGCCCCTACAAATTCTCTGACACCCCTACAACTTAGCGAATCCCTTACAAGTTCCCGAACCCTTTATATTCTTCGAACCCTAGAAGAAGCAGACACCCCCAACCCTCCTGCTTGCTCAGCACCCCCACCTCTGGTCTCCGGATTTTCTCCCTCCCCCTGTACCCCTCTGTGTGCCCCTCCTGCCCCCAGCGCTCCGGATCCGGTGCCAGTCGGTGTCGGTCAGTCTTCTCTGTAGCGCTGACATGTGTTGTGTCTCCGTCTGTGCTGGCTGCACTGAGTGATGAGCCGCCTCTCCTCCTCCTCCTTCCCTCCCCCTGCAGGGCTCTGAGTACCCCCCTCCTCCCCTCCCCCAGCCCGGGGGGGGGACTATAGGTACCAGCAGGCCAGCCTCTGCCCTCTCCTTCCCTCACCTCACCCCCTCCTCTATTGCTAGCTTGGATGGGGCTGCCACTGACTGGGGAACTACAAGTACCAGCAGCACTGTATTTGTAATAATAGCACCTTTTAGTATCTGCGCAGAACTTCAAGCCCCAGGGTGTCCTGAGACCCACAAGTGGAGGATGCCATGCTGGGATTTGTGGTTTCCCAACAGCCAGTGGTCACTACAGGGGTCCTGTGGCTTTCCAAGTGGGGTAGAACTACAACCCCCAGCAGTCTCTGACATCCATGCTATAGAATTGCTATAGAATTGGAATTATTTGCTGAAGCTGTTGTATTACCATGTTAGCCAGACATGCTGGAACTTATAGTTCCTCAAGTGGACTCATCTCTGAGTAAGGAGGAGGACCTGCACTGTGTTACAGTCAAGTCACGACATGCACTGTTAGCCCGGGATAGGGGTCAGCGTGCTGGGACTTGTGGTTCCACAGCAGGCCCAGCAAAAGGAGCTCTCTAGCTGATGTGGAACTACAAGTCACAGCATACCCACGCCAGATTCACCGGCTACACAAGACCACTTTATCCTCTGCCTCACTCTTCTCAATGTAAAAAGCGTTCTCAGATCCCAGAATCCTTCACTGTGGGCCTGACTGACACCAAAGGGTTAATGGAGTGAAGACTAATCAGAGGCGATCCACCAGAACCCGTGATATCCACAGAACTGGAACACAGGAGATCCAAAACCCAGGTGATCCACAAAACTAGAACACAGAAGATCCAGAACCCAAGTGATCCATAAAACTGGAACACAGGAGATCCAGAACCCAAGTGATCCACGGAGACCCAGAACCCGGGTGATCCACAAAACTAGAACACAGAAGATCCAAAACCCAAGTGATCCACAGAGATCCAGAAACCGGGTGATACAAAGATCCGGAGTACCGAGGATCCAGAACCCAAGTGATCCACAAAACTGGAGCACAGGAGATCCAGAACCGGGTGATCCATAAAACTGGAACACAGGAGATCCAGAACCCGGGTGATCCACAGAACAGGAAAACAGGAGATCCAGAACCCCGGTGATCCACAGAACTGGAACACAGAAGATCCAGAACCTGGGTGATCCACAGAACCAAAACACAGGAGATCCAGAACCCGGGTGATCTATAAAACTGGAATACAGGAGATCCAGAACCCAGGTGATCCACAGAACAGGAAAACAGGAGATCCAGAACCCAGGTGATCCAAAGAACCGGAGTACAGGGGATCCAGAACCCAGGTGATCCACAAAACTGGACACAGGAGATCCAGAACCCGGGTGATCCACAAAACTATAACACAGAAGATCCAGAAATCCAGAACCCGGATGATCGAGCCGTCCTTGTGCTCCAGTCAGTGACTTGGCCTAGTATGAGATGATGTCATCAGTCTGCTGCAGGCAGGATGAATCATTTCCCCACTCTCCCCTCCTCCAGTCATCAGTCTGCTGCAGGCAGGATGAATCATTTCCCCACTCTCCCCTCCTCCAGTCATCAGTCTGCTGCAGGCAGGAGGAAGCATTTCCTCAGTCTCCCCTCCCCCAGTCATCAGTCTGCTGCAGGCAGGAGGAAGCATTTCCTCAGTCTCCCTTCCCCCAGTCATCAGTCTGCTGCAGGCAGGAGGAAGCATTTCCTCAGTCTCCC